AACAGTTTTTTGTTGGTATTGTTTTGTTTTGGCCCCCGTTATGCACATTTTTGCTTTTCGTGTTCTTTAAAGCTGTTCTCTGTATGCAGGCTTAGAGCTATTTAAATGGCAATTGTTAAACCATCCAGGTCTTCAGAACAAGATTCTTTTCAGAGTATGGCCAGCAGCCCATGATAACTCCGCTAGGAAACACCAGAACAGATGTACCCAGCGTTCTTTGTCTGTTTTGTAAAACTGCTTAGCAGTGATGCAGTCAGTATGTCAGGTGATACTTGTCATTGTAGACCTAGTTAATGTACAGCAGCATCGATAACATATTCAATTTTTCAGACATTTTCAAAATGTTCAGATTTTTCAAACTATCAGTGGTTTTTGTCTTTACTGTTTGTCTTTCATTGTGAAATAATTTCTGACCCTTGGGGCAAAAAGAGAAAAATGAGAGTATTCTGTTAGCTCAAGGTAGCATTCAACCTGCAGATTCTTTGTGGAGATTTTAGAATTTATAGGGTAGCAAGATGCCTGGGGAAGCATAAGTTGTTTCTAAATTAACTTATCACTAACCTAAATGAGCTGTGACATGAAAATTCACACTGCAGCTGACAGAGCTTTTTACCATTTCAGAGTCCCTACCAGCTAGAATACCAACATTTTAGAAGCACTCTTTACTTTCTACCTTGATATGCTTGATCCACATAAAATTTCAAACTTACTGAAAAATCAGTATCAAATGTTGTAAATAATATTGGTATCTCCAAATGACCTGGCAGTACTTGCCTTCTTAGATGAAAAAAGGCTGTCAGATACAAATCTTAGGCTCTAAAGCCTGAACAGAGTTAGATACCACCTCTGCCAGTCACTCTCACCTTGGGAAGGTCACTTATCCTGTCCTGTCTATATTTCTTCATCTAAAAATGGGGGAGGATAATACCCAGTTCCTTTGTTGTGAAGATCGAGTGTGATTTTATATGTAAAAATATTAGCACAGTACTTGGCGTGCAGTAACCAAACCAGTATCCCTTGAGTTGATTCCC